ATTGGGTAGGCTTGAAAAAAATTTGCATAATCACAAAAGCACGTGGATCTTTGGGGGAATGCATATGCGCATGCATGCATATGCATGTTCACGCAAGTATATGCATGTGTGGACGTGTGTGTATGCATGTGAGTATATGCACACAAGTGTGTGTGGACATGTGTGAGTGTGCATGTGAGTATATGCACACAAGTGTGTGTGGACATGTGTGAGTGTGCATGTGAGTATATGCACACAAGTGTTTGTGGACATGTGTGAGTGTGCATGTGAGTATATGCACACAAGTGTGTGTGGACATGTGTGAGTGCATCTGAGCCCATGTGCACGCACAGTGTATGTGTGTGTATGTGGCTACTCTGTGTTTAAGGTTTTGCTGCTTAGCCAGAGCTTTCCCTGAGTGAGTGGCTCACAAAGCCAGGAGTCACGGTGTCTGGAGGGGGGCAGAAGCGCCCCCGTGCTGCAGAGTGAACGGCCCTGCATTTCTCTGCATGCAAGGACTGTCTGGGGCGTAGGGAGGGCACCTCCTATCCTCCGGCCATAACCTTCGTAGCCATCATTCCTCATGGACTTCTGCTTGGCTGTTTGCCCACAGCTTCCAAGGATTCATGCTACACAACACCAACAGGCAAAATCCCAACTTCTCAGGACCTCCATCTACCTGGAATATTGCCGAGGCCACGGACCACGTCACTAGGCGGTGGCCCCTATGTAACGCTTGTTTTCTCTGGTCAGCCTTGGGAGCCCCGGCTGGAGCCTCACGGCCTGGATTCAAACCCTGGCTCTGGCCTTTGACTGCCCCTGGCTGCACACTTGGCTTTGTGCCCCAGCCCACGCGGCCCTTCTGTGGAGATGAGTCAACAGAACGAAAGCCCTGCAAAAGGAACCACTCCACGCACTAGTCCATCATGACAATGACTTTATAAGGTAGCTCAAGGGAAAGCTTACGTTCCAGAAAGATCTGGAAGGCTGTGCCTTGGGCACAGCGTGATTTATATCAAGCAGGTTCCTGAAGTCTTTCCCTCTTCCCGACACACTTGTGGGTCACAGATACCCACCCTGACTTCCCACAGCAGGGGAGACCTGCAGAACCTTCAGTGAGGGGGCCAGCGCTGTGGTGTAACGGATAAGGCTGCCGCCTTCTATGCCGGCATCCCATATGGGAGCTGGTTCGAGACTTGACTGCTCCACTTCTGATCCAGTTGTCTGCTATGGCTTGGGAAAGCAGTGGAAGATGACCCAAGTATTTGGGCCCCTGCACCCATGTGGGAGACCTGGAGGAAGGCCCTGGCTCCTGGCTTCGGATTGGCGCAGCTCCGGCCATTGCAGCCATCTGGGGAGTGAACCAGCGGATGGAAGACCTCTCTCTCTGTCTGCCTCTCCTTCTCTCTGTGTAACTATGAGTTTGAAGTAAAATAAATACATCTTAAAAAAAAAAAACAAAACAACCTTCAGTGGGGGTTGAATGGCAGGTTAGAAGCACGTGCAGGTTGCAAATGTCCTTTTGAGGTTCTGATATGCCCTTCTGTGCCATTCACCCAAGAATCCTTGATGGAAATACAGATGCTCTTTGACTTACAGCAGGGCTGTACTGCAAGAGACGCATCCTAAGTAGGAAATACTTTAGGCGGAAAACGCACTGGCTACACCCAACCTATGGAAGACCACAGCTCTGAGAGCATTGGTTCCCTCCCCTGGAGATGGCAGGGCTGACCGGGAGCTGGGGGTGTGGCTGCTCAGACAGGGGCGGGGCTGCACACTGCTGGCCCAGGGAAGGGGCAGGATTCTAAGTCTCAGGTGTGGTTCCTGTTAAATTCACAGTGCTCTCACACCACTGAAAGGTCAAAACATTGTAAGTCGAATCACTGTAAGCTGGGGACAGCCTACTGTCACCAGGAGGCATTAAAAATAAAACTACCTGCAGGCCAACTGTGCACCTGGCAAACCCTCTTCTGAAAAGCCGTGGTTTCATCCTCTCCCCGGGCTGATCTTGCCTTTCCCTGGGGACTGTCCCAGCCCCAGTGGATGCACGGGCCGTTCCTTTACATGTATTGTGCCTTTTTGGCAAAACACTTGTTCTTAGGCTTCTCAGATCTTCCTAGTGTCACAAAGTAGGATATAAACAAACAATGCGGCACACATACTTAGGCTGCTGAGAACTAAGCACAGCTTCAGTAACTTAGGAAGAAGCTGAGCCTCCTTCACAGACACAAGTTCCCAGGTGTCGATGGAACAGACAAGGGATCGCAAGGCGGCAGGTGGAGGGCTCAGCAGGCAATGCAGCCGGGTGGGAAGGAAGAGGAAGCCCCACCCATCAACGCAAGTGCCACTGAGCCGCTCCTCTTGTTCCTGCCACCAAGTCCCCGCCCAGTGCAGGCACCAGCCCCTGCTCACCCTTGGCAGCTTCACACCTGGCGTCCCAGACACGTTCCTCCTCCTGCAGCCTGCGCCGGGGGTCCCGGTAACACACTTGGATGCGAGGCAGCTGATTCACAGCTTGCCTTCCTGTTTCATGCATCTGTCCCTTGCTACAAAACCCATCTTTGAAGGCCGGCATGCCAACAGCAGTCCCAGGACCGTTTCAAAATTCCACTGGCTCTGGAGCAGCCCTCCCCTCATCCGGCCGTGCAAGGAACGAGGCAGAGTTAGCAGAAGCAGTGGCGGGGGCCACATGGGAGCCCCAAGGTTCCGGCTGGTGAGATGGAGGGCGGGGAAGGGTGCTAGGGTGGACACAGGGCCATTCCAGGGTGGTTAGTTCTGAGGACCAACTATGAAATGCGAACATGAAAATGAAACATGCTGGGGCCGGCACTGTGGTGCGGTGGGTTAAGCTGCCATCTGCAGCACCAGCATCTCGTATGGGCACCCACGTGAGTCCTGGCTGCTCCACTTCTGATACAGCTCCCTGCCATTGCACCTGGGAAGGCAGTGGAATGTTTGGGCCCCTGCACCCATGTGGGGGACCCAAAAGAAGCTCTTGGCTCCTGGCTTTGGCCTGGCCCAGCCCTGGTAGCTGTGGCCATTTGGGAAGTGAACCAGCGGATGGAAGATCTCTCTCTTCTCTGTTTCTCCCTCTCTCACTGTGGCTCTTTCAAATAAAATAAATAAATATGCACAAATACAGAGGCCCTTGTACAAAAAGCGGGGAAATGCAATAAAAGGTAGTAAAACAAACTTCTTTTTTCTCTTCTGCATTCACTCTCTTGACTTAAGGTGTCTAAAATGCTGCTTCAGGCCGGCAGGGGTTCAAGCCCCAGCCTGCGGCACTAGCAGCCCATATGAGCAACAGCTGGTGTCCCACCTGCCCCGCTTCCCATCCAACTCCCTGCTAATGCACCCGGGAAGGCAGCGGACGATAAGCCAAACGCTTGGGCCTCTACCACCCACAAGGGAGACCCAAATGGAGTTTCAGGTTTCTGGCTTCAGCCTGGCCCAGCCCTAGTCCGTTGTGGTGGTTTGGGGAGTGAACCAGAAAGATCTCTCTGTCTCTCCCTCTCATTCTATAACTCTGCCTTTCAAATAACTAAATAAATCTTAAATAAAGTAAAATAAAAAGGAAAGATCAAGTTAATGCTAAAATTCAAAGGACATATTCATTTAAAAAACTGCTCTTGTGTCATGCTGCCTCAGGCACGGGGATCCCAGGTCCTGGTGCCCACACCAACCACTGGCTTCCGGGATTCCCTCTCCCACCAGCTGCCAGGCCAACACATCCTGTGTCAGGCAGGGGCAAAGAAATCAAGCCAGGAATTCCCCATTCCTGTGGGCCCAGGACCACAACCCAGGGCAGACGGGTGACCCACAGTGTCTGCTAGCTGGGCGGGGGTGGGACTCCCCCAGGCACCTGCTTTTAACACAACAGAGTGCTTCTGGCTCAGGCTGGGCTGACTGCTCCCACACCCAGGTCGGAGGCACCATGGGGCACGGGTGCCTGACCCCTCGCTTCCCTGCACTCATGCCCAGTAGGCAGGAGGCTGTGAGAATCCCTGCGTGAAGGCAGAGATGGGGAGGTGTGCAAAGTTGGGGGTCCCAGGGAGGTGGCGGGACTGCACGAGCCAAGCCTCCAATGCCATGGGGGTGGCCTCTGTTGTCCCCCGGGACTTCTGGACCTCACTTCTCAAACAGGGCTGCCTTCCAGATCCTTGTGGTGTGTAACCAACCAATCACGGGCCAGAAATACTCTAAAACATGGTGCGTCCATCCTGACAGGTGCAGACTTCGGTCTGCCATTCTCCCCTACACTGTAGGAATTCAGCAAAAGAACTGTTCACACTGCACTTACATGGCAGTAGGGGTTCTAGACAATTAGAGACGATGGGATGCATACAAGAGGACGTGCACAGGTTATACACAAACACTGCACCATTCAGAGAAGGGTCTGGAGCCTCTGTGGATGCTGCTATCCTCGGGGGACCCTGGAACCAACCCCTCATGCACACCAAGGACTGACAAAGGCAAAGATGACTGAGCATTCCAACCTCCCCCGGCATGGAAACCCCAGGCACAAGGCCCCACCCAGGTGCGGCCCTGCAGAACTGTGTGCCCATCACTGGCCCTGCCAGCACCACCACAAGCCCAGAAATGAAACGGAGTCCAGTCTGCCCTTGCCTGACGTCGTCCCACCTCTGACTCCAACCTGAGCTGGTGGCAGGCATGCAACATCGCTTCACCCGGCACGGGTGCGGCTGCTCTGGCGCAGGTAGAAGCGAGGGGTCTCGCTCGTTTGAACAGAAATTCTGTCTCACTGCATTGCACAAAGCACTGATGTAATGACACACAGGCAGAGACGTGCTGGTTACAGAAATCCCCCCCCAAACCTAACGCGGCCTAGAGATTTTCTTAAAGTGTCGAGGAGATTAATTAGGAAAGAGAGAAGATCAAGGGGTAATTACTTAATAAGTGGCTCTAGGTTGATAGTTTGTAAAAACCGGGCCATTCTCCAAAGTCATTACTTTGATGCAAGAATGAAACCTGGGCACTGAGAGTACGTTCATCTCACAAACCTTGGCTTCTGGGTCACTGTTGATACTACAGGAATCATCGTCATCAGAATGAGGGGCGTTTCTGGAAAGAAAAACAGACACCTGGCTTAGAATGCCACCGCAGACTCCAGAGTGCAAAGCCACCGGGCAGGGACCAGCCTTAGAATGTCCTACCTGAGTTTCAAAGATGCATAGCGTAGCGTCGCTCCTTCAAACTCTTTTAAGCTGGGGTCTGGGTGAACGGTGGCCGCGTGCAAATCCTAGAGGAAGACAGGGCCAGTTAACGTGCAACGCAGGAGGGGCCCTTCCGGCATCTCAAATACCAAAGGGGCGAGAAGCCTTCCCAGCGAGAGGCGGAGAGTGGATGTGAGCTCAGGCGGCAACAGGCATGCAGGGGCTGCTGGGAGCGGACCGGGTGCAAGCGCCCGCTCTCACGGGAGACAGGGAACTGGCGTGGTCGGCTTGAAGGCATTCACCAAGGGGGACATCAGAAAAGGCCGCCAGAGTGTGAGCTGGATGCCCCCAGCAAGAAGCCCACTCACTCGGAGCCTGCCCAATGCACGAGCTTACAAAGAACACAGAGCCACAGCCATGCAGAGAGGGAAACAGACGATCTCAGGTCTGACAATATACTTGCCTTCCAAATGTCACTATTAATCTTTCCCCCATTCAGAACAGCAAAATCACTCCATGGCTGTTTCTAGACATATAATCATTCACATAGGAAAAAGCACATTGATTTAAAGGAAAAAGAAAAAGAAAACAAAAGAAAAAAAGAAAAAAAAACACAAGACACTGTTGTTAGCAGTAATATTCACAGGATGGGTTAGGGAACAAAATAACAGCACCTCCTCAGGCTCATTGCCTCTGACCGGAGCAGGGCACAAGATGGGGCACCTACATCAGTCCCCGAACATCACTCCCCGAATCAACTGGCTGAGCCTTATGGGAAGCTGCTTGCTAAATGCCTACACCTGGCATTCCTCCTGTCACAGGAACCCTCCCCGCTGTTAACCACATAGCACTGTTCACAGGGGGTGGGGCAGAATGAGGGATGACGCTGTGCTGGCTTGGAGACTGGACAATGCAAGATACGGGGGTCAGGTGTTCTTCATGTCAAAGGAGCGGAGGAGGATGAAGGGGAGAGAGGGCTGGTAGGGGCGCACACAGATCTCAACTTCTTGCTGAAGTTTAACTTAACCAAAAACGGCTCAGAACAACCTAATGTAAATGCCTCCACGCCGTCAAAATCTCCATTTCCTTTTCACACGATTCCCTGAACATAATACAGGACAGAGTACGACATCGTCACTCACTGGGTAGACTCATGCACGACACAAGCCACAGGCCTTCAAAGCTAAACACCCCCTGCCTCCAGGTCAGAGCACGAAGAGGCCTCTCCTACTGTGCAGAGTGATGGAGTCAGCCTTCCGCACCTAGGGCCTCCACACCCCAAGTACTCAAAAGGGGAAGACCGTCTGCCCTGAATCTGTACCCCCGGCCCCCTGCTCTGCTCATGATTTTCATAGCATTCACATTACATTAGGTGTTGTTACTGAGCTAGTGTGCCCAAATACTACACCACTTCACAGAAGGCACTGGGTACCCAAGGATTTTGGTATCCACTGGGGTCCTGCAATGAATCCCATGGATTCTGATGCTCAAGTATCTTTCACTTTAGTTTTGGAGATATAAATGATGTGAAGAAAACCCAAGGACTAAATGTCAATTTGTCCCATGGACTTATCAGGTCAAACTCTTTCCCTGGTATGCAACAAGGCAATAATGGAACCTTTTCAACTAAGTCACTTTTCAACTGAAGATCTCTGAAAGTGAGAAGTGACTACTGGCCATCCCATAATTTCTACTCTAAATGTTAAAACAGTCTGTAAAGCCACGAAAAGCAGAAGTGAAGTTCAAGTGTGTCCTATACTGAAAGATACAATGATGTAGCTCTGAGGGCAGCTTTCCATGCAGCATGGCTGGTGCCACTTTGCACTGGGTTGGAGGGTAGGCACCTGGGCTGCAGTGTCATAAAATGGAAAGCATCTAGATCAATGTATTTATTTTTCAAAATAATGTTTCTCAATGAGGGGAAAAAGAAAGGCACGAACACTAACCAAACCCAACTCCTTACCTCTTCTTACTCTTGCCTCAAAGCAGTGTTCATTCCTCTCCGAGGAGATTACTAACTCGGGAGAGTCAGCCTGCGGGCTCAGGGCAGGCTGCGAACCACAGAATGAGGCGAGACGAGATACAGGTGTGTTTTCCCAGGGGAAAGCTGCCCCACCTTTCTCATGTTTTCCGAGGGGCCAGACACCTAGAGTTTTAGAGCCACCACTGGAGGGGTACTCAGAAAGGCTCATGATAAGGACATCAAATATCGAGTGCAAAATAAAATTTTGAGCCAGAATATCTTTTTTGAAAAAAAGGAAATAGGCTGACATGGCCCCAAAATCGTCCTCATTGGGTACATGTGAGTAATATTTGCTTTCTATTGACATTAAACTTGAAAAGGGAAACCAAAGGATGAATCCAGGATACCAAGGATAAACGTGTTCTTGCGGAGGGAGACATTTAAAAGAAAAAGAGAAGGAAAAGGAGAGGTGTCTTACAGAAAGAATTTGAATTTAGAAGCGATCTTCAAGGGACACTGTATGTGGGGACTGGTGAGAGTGAAAGAATATTGCTAAACAAATACGCAGAAAGCTCAGCACTTAACTGGAACAGTTCCCTCTAGGTGTGTGTGGTTTTGACATTTTTATGTATTTACTCTTTGCACACAGGCGCGCTTGTTAAGTGAAAATTGACGATAGCTCCAAGACTATTTGAATCCAGTCTGCATGCTATGGAAACACCAGTCAACTGGCAGACTTCCAACAATCACCTTTTACAGCATTAAATAAACAAAGGCGCCACAGAGAGATTTCACAAGGACTTACAATACCATGGGCCAGCCTAGAGAAACACTCCAGCATGCAGCTCAAGTGAGGAAAAATGGAAAGTAGCATTATATATGTTATGACTGGGCCAGAGGTTTTTTTTCTCTCTCCTATATTTAAAAATATCCATTTACATCAGAGGTGAGACGCTTCCTCTAAATGAATACAACTTTCCTTTTTTTTTTTTTAATCAAGGTCAATGAAGTACAAAAGCTCTTTGTCTTAAATTGCAAGAACTATGTAATGTCTTCATTTGATTCTTTTGAGTACACAGAATGGCTTCTACATTTAGCTAATAATTTTACCTAATACATTTTTTTTTTTTTTTTGACAGGCAGAGTGGACAGTGAGAGAGAGAGAGAGACAGAGAGAAAGGTCTTCCTTTGCCGTTGGTTCACCCTCCAATGGCCGCCGCGGCCAGCGCGATGCGACCGGCGCACCGCGCTGATCCGATGGCAGGAGCCAGGAGCCAGGTGCTTTTCCTGGTCTCCCATGGGGTGCAGGGCCCAAGCACCTGGGCCATCCTCCACTGCACTCCCGGGCCACAGCAGAGAGCTGGCCTGGAAGAGGGGCAACCGGGACAGAATCCGGCGCCCCGACCGGGACTAGAACCCGGTGTGCCGGCGCCGCTAGGCGGAGGATTAGCCTAGTGAGCCGCGGCGCCGGCACCTAATACATTTTTTAAAAAACCCAACATAGATTCTTTGGTCCAACAGGAAGTCTGTAGCCTGAGTGGTAGGGGTGGGAGAGATGAAGGAAGAGAAAGACAGCAAAGGACCAAGAGCCAGGTGCAGCCAGATGCCCCCGGGAAGGCAAGGCTCAAAGACGGTCGAAGGTAACGGAGGGCGGGCACAGCCCATCTTCCATGAGCAATAACCTCCCAGCTTCCGGCCAACATGCCTAAAGCCTTGCACGGCCACGTGATCTCTGCTGCCAGGTCCGGGTTCTCACTCTCCTGGTGCTGTCCTGACCGTGCCCAGGGGGCAGCACCCCTGACTTTGGAAATGGTGACCCCGTTCAGTTCTGGGAGAGAACCTGAGTCTTGGCTCCTCAGAGGCAGAGCGGGTGAGCACGGCACTTGTCATGACCCTGCAGCACCACACAGAAGCCATGGAAGGTGGACCCACTGCGGGAATCCAATAATTCAACCCTGACAACTGAGTGTGCTCCTACTATGTGGCGGGGGGGGGGGGGGATGTTGGAAAGTTTGTATGAAAGGGGATTAAGATGATTAAAAAATAAAAAAACCTCGAACTTGGTTTCTCAACACAAGCTCTGTCAAGTTCAAGATCGTTTTGGTAAACTTGTCCCCAAAGAACTGAGCACTCTGGGAACTTATCCGTCAGTGTGGTCCTTTTTACTTTATTAACTGAAGAAAAACAATGGTTTTTGTTTTAAAGATATTTTCAGATTAGGAAACAAAAAGATCAGAAGGAGCCGAATCAGGACGTCCAGGTGCGCTGCGGTGGACACAACACTACCAGATGTGTACAGAATTACAGCAAACACAATCCAGAGACGTTAAAAAAAAAGCTAATCAGAGGGACACAAACTCGTGCAACACATGTGTGTCTGTGAGCAGCGGCTCATGTAGAATCCACACTCCAGAGGGGCTCAGGAGCCCTGGGCTGCAGTGCCGGCTTCGCCGCTGGAGCAAGTCCACCAGCAGCTTCATTCGGCAAATGTTACCTGAACTTCACCACCTATGTGCAACAGTGCAAGGTGCTGGGGACACAAGACGAGGGGACCAGGCCCCGACCCCAAGGAGTCTGCTGCAGGGACTCTGAGTCATGCTACTGCTAAAGGAAGGGACTGATACAGGGCTTTCAAAGCACAGAGGTGAGCGCAGTGGTTCCCAGAAGACACTGGGGTGAGGCCCAAGAACGTCAGCAGAAGTGACATCAGAATCAAAATAGGGGCCGTGGCTCCCCAGAGGCCTGCCTGAGCCCCTCGCTTGGCATCAGCTCCCATGGACGCGCACATAAAGGCAGGTTCCCAGGCCTGCCCTAGAGCACCTGGCTCCGTGGCCAAGGAATTGTCCCCTCCTGGCCACAGCCCTCAGCCCCCAGGCTGAGGAGTGCCCGCTCCAGCACTGGCTAGGCCCTGCTCCAAGGTTCTGTGCAGCTCTGATGACTAGACTGGGTCAAGAAGTCCCTGCAGAACGAGGGCCAGACGGCCCTTTCATGGTATCTCATTTCTAAGTGCACACAGCCACCCCCAGGTCCTAACACGACCCGGGAGCCAGCAGTTCAGAAGCAAGGACACTGATTTACAGACAGACCCCAAAGAGATGGCAGGTGTGACTCCATCTGCCTCCTCGGCTTCAACTCCATCTTCCCAGGGAAACCTTTCACCGGAAAGATTCAGACAGACCTGGTTATGGGCCAATGCTTATTCATAAAAGTACGTTGTGTGGCTCTCTCTTCTGTCTGAAATCCAACATCCGAGTGATTTGGAGCAAATAGATGGTAGGGGGTGGGGAGGGGAGGGAGTGCTCTGAGCCAAGTTGCAGCAGCAAATGCTTCCTGGGCAGTTTATAAACTCTGAGAAATCCCTCTGGCAAGTGCAGTGGAAATATTATCCCTCGAGCTTCGCACTTCCTGAGTGAACTTTGGAATGTGCAATGTAAAATCTTCAAACTGCAAGGAAGCCTTCCATCCTCAACTTTCGTGAAATCAACGGATTTGGCACTTATCTATCTGATTTTTTTTAAGGCAGTTCAGGAAAAAGCTGAGTAAAATATGCATTTCCAACTCGGCATGGTACGAGTTTCCTCGTTCTCTTAACATTTTGCTTTATCTCATGTTTCAAAATTAGTTGAAAAAGATTCTATTTAGGGATCAAAGAAATGGTGTTAGAGGAATAATCATTTCTAATTGTTATTAGAATCGAGTCAAAGTCATTGAGAGAAGTCATTCTCTAGAAGGCTTTGAGTGGGACACAAAGAGATGCAGAGACCTGGGGGTCTCCAACTCCTCTTTCATACAATACTGAAGGCCTGGGGCAGCAGTAGGCATCAACAGACCCGAATGCAAGCTTGACCACGGATGACTGGGACCGGACACCTGTAGGGAAAGCGAGGACCCAGCCTCTCCCCTGTTTCCCTTCCCCCGAGGAGTCCTTGCCCGTCCTTTACCAAAAGGAATCCACTGCATTGATGGAGCAGTACAGCTGGCCCTACAAAGTTCTAACCACTGGACTCAATGGCTACAGCAGTAACACATTGTTGGCTACTACTGTCCCGAGGGGTTTGTTTAGGGGAATTCTAATTCTGGGTAGGGAAATTTCAGGCCTGGGGCAGAAAGTAATTACCACGTACAGGTAACCCCCCCGGACCAAATGGAGCCCACTGGCCATCAAAAATCCCATAAAGAGCACAGCATCACTGACCAATCAAAGGAAAGTCATGAGCACCACTGACCAATCAGCAACTTGGACACAAGCTGCTCATGCACCTCTCAGCCCTGATTTCAATATATACACAACAAGACCCTTCACCCCTCACTCCTCGGGGAGCCAGGAAATTATGCTGCAGCTGCCGGCTCCTTGCTCTGCAATGAACACCTCCTTCCTTCCCCTGTCCTAATGTCAGCGACTGGCTTTCTGCGGGTTGGGCGAGGGGACCCAGGTTTGGGGGTTCCATAGCCTCCAAGTAGTTTGGGGGTTATTCAGCAACACCCTTGCACAAGTTCCTTCACCTATCTCAGTGTTGTCCAATGTCACACGGGACTGGTAACGTTAGCGGCAGGTACACACGTGGTCGATGGGAGGTCTTGGGACAAGGCACAAGCCTGGGGCTGTAAATACTTGAAGACTCTGTGTCTCTGGTTGAACATCCATGTCAGGGTCGCCGTGTCCCAGTAGGTGGCAGGTTGCATCTTTTCCCCAGCTCTCTCACTCCTCTCTCCCTACTTGTCCCAGTGCCTGGATGATTCTAATTCATTGCCTTCTAAATCTGCTTGGTTCTCTGACTTAACAGATGGCCTAAGGCAGTGAATGGAGAGGCTGACCGGAACAGCACTCATCCTACTGGTCTACTAAAGTGCTGGAGCTGACTCTCTTTGAAATGTCTAAAATCACGCATCCATTAACCAAGTTCCATGGCGGGGTAAGATCGTGGGTTAGCAGCTAAAGACAGGAATGGAACGAAGACAAGGGAGAAACCGTGGCGTCTCAGGGGCAGAGCCCAGGCCCCAGAAGCAACACCTGCTGCACAGCTACCCAGCACATGTGGCTCGGGAGTTCTGTTCTTGGACCAGGAACACAACAGCTGCCTTCTCTGGTTGGCAGTCTTGGGAGGACCCAATGAAATGAGGTCTGGGAAAGCCACAATAGCCAGCAGGAGTGGCAAGGGGCTGGGCGGGGGCTGCATGAGGGGAACCCAGAGCTACAGGAGGGGAAGAGAGAGGGTGAGCCTCTCTATGAGCCTAGGACGCGGCTCTGAGTGGTGGACGGGACGGGTGTCGAGGGGAAGAATGGGCAGCAGTGGGCACCAGGAGGAGGCCCAGAGGCTGGAGAGGAAGTCGCCCCTGGACCCTTGGACCCACACCAGCTGCCCTGTTGTGCTGCCTTCTTTCCAATACTTGCTACAGACCACAGGGAAGCAGACAGGAGCTGCAGGGGTCTCGGTGCATCCTCCCTGGATCCCACCCAACCTGTGTGTCGACCCCAGCACATGGACTTTAAGGACTTCACTTCCCCCCAGTACAGAGGACATGAGACTCAAGGAACACACCAGAACACTCGGGCCGTGTCTCAGGACTGGTCTGACCGCCTCACCTCCGGGACAATGAGGCTGAGGACACAAAGCCCGGGGAGCCAAGCAAGGGGAACTCTGGGCTGGAACTCTAGGATTCCAGGGCTGTGAGTTCTGTGCCTCAGTTTCCTTGTCTGTCACTCACGGCTGCAGCTGATCCCTCCCTGCCCTGGCACTGTCTGGGAAGTCAGGCATTGCTGCAGATGGTTAAAGGATTCAGGTAGGGAGAAAGAGATCCTGCCAGAGATGTGTATGTAGGTGGGGAAGGTGGAGCACGGCTGAGCCTTGGTGAGCGCAGGGGCTGGTCCTGGCTGGCTCCAGTTCTAAGAGTCCCCCCTAGGGCACAGGGAGGAATCCCGGATGCATTGGGCTGTGATAGGCAGTGGAAGCCCCTTCAGGCCCAGCTCCTGGAGGGCTGAGGTTATGCTGGTTCATCCTCATCCCCCAGCACACCTAACGCTAGGTGAATAAATAATGGTTGGGAACTGGGCAGACGGTGGAGAATTATGCATCCATGAAAAGCTACCTAAATTGCCTGGGGGTAGGCAGGGCTAGCCTGCATGGCTCAACAGTGCTAAGCCTGTGCGTGATGAGCAGGGCAAAGCACTGACCAACCGAGTCCCCCACCCCCCCAGCTGCAGTGTAGCTCGCCCCACCCATCACTTCCATGAGGGCGAATCAGAGGACTGGGCTGGGTGAATGAGATGTGGGGGCCTGGGGACAGCAGGAGTGTGACTAGGACACAGGTCTCACCAGCCCCCCACCCCCACCCCAGGAGAACCCAGGAACACCCAAAATCAAAGATTCAGGACACAAGACGCCATCCGCTTCAGAAGACACGCAGGGTGATGACAAATGTAAACAGAGAGGAAGCTCCCAGGTAAGAGGTGCACAGCAAATGCCCAGTGTGTGCTCCAAGTTCAAGAATACGGGCTCGTTTCATGGAGCAGACCAGGCTAGGACCAAGGTAGAAATGCCTGGGTGTCCGGGACAGAACCACTGCTCTCCAAACAAGAGAGACCTTTTCCAACTGTAATTCCTGTGACTGTCTGGTTATCAGAACTCACAAAGCCTCGTTGCTGGACTCTCCCTATTAATAAATACCACAGTGGCACTGTTAAAGGGCTCAATTCTTTGTTTACACATCCAGACCTTCCTTTCTCAGGGACAGTAGAAAAATATGCTGCTAATTATTTCTAAAATAGTGTCACTTCTGCTAAATCAACAGATTTTTTAAAAATAGAAATTACACATTTAAGGGCTCTCGAGGGTCATCCTTGCAGACATCATCTCCCTACTCACAGAGGAACCCAGGGCTCACAGGCTGTGCAGCAATTAGAACATGGCTGAGTGTAAATATTTCATGTAGCCAGCACCACGCAGTGGCACCTGCAGAGTGAAATACCGCATCACGGAGCCCCAGGGAGACCTAACCACTTCTCATTAATCAGCCCCTCCTGCTCTCTGAACCTGGAACGGTGTTTCAAGACACACAAAGTCATTAAAAAATGAAAACACCCCTGGAAGATGGATACTAACACTGCTTACTGGGAGGAGGAAGCACTACTGGGACTGCAAATGCAACATGCAAGGTAACCAAAACGCTTACCTCCATGACCTGCTGGGGCAGAAGCAGCTGTCTAGAGAAACCACAAGTTACATTCACTCAGTACTACGCCAGGAGGGAGGCCCTGGGGTTTTACCTCGTTCTCTGGGGTGGGAGATGGCGTTACAGAACTAAGAGAGCCTTTGCGTGAGCCCTGAAGGTCGGCCGGCACGGAGACAGGCCGCTCCCACTGCGTGGTTCCTGTGGGGATGTGCCAGTAGTAGGTCCCAGCGATGTCATTGATTCTCTTCCAGCCGGGCGGTAAATCCGGGTCGGTCTGAAACGAGTGGTCACTCCATATATCTGCTGGGAAATGGAAAAATGAAAGAGGGTTTTATTGTAAGACAACAAGAGCCTTCTGACTTCAGTCCCCCTGGTCGGGTGAACTCCATGGGCAGACGCATCCCTAGGCCAAAGGACTAGAGAAGACAGGTTGATGCCTGAGAATAAGGGCGTAAAGGCCTCGTTATCACATCTTCCTACAGCTTCAAGAAACCTGTGGACAAGGTGAGCGCCATTAAGACCACACAACTATGCAAGCAAAATGCACATTCCACGCAGAATCGACTCGATCTCTTTGTCAGTCGGTAAGCTAGTAAAATGCATGTTCCACGCAGAATCCACTCGATCTCTTTGGATGGTGTTACACAGCACTCCCTGTGAGTGTAACTCTTGGCTCACCTGCTTTCTGTACGTGAGTAGCATTTACATCTTTCACACATTTTAACAACGCTTCCCATTTAATTGTAAACATCAACAAAGTAGCAGTGTCCTTTGTAACACTCCAGAATTCCAACTTGCATTCAAGATTTTCAAGAAAAGTATACAAGAAAACCCTTGGATTTCAACCCTAAAGACAGGCCAGTAATATAAACACATGAAAGGTGTGAGAGAGAATAGAGAATGGCGGGGACGGTGGCAAATGGGAGAACACCTAGAACTACAAAGTCAAAGAATAATTTTTTAAATGCTGAGGTGGTCAAATAAAACACATCCACAGCACTGTGCCAGCCACATCTGCCCTGTACCAGTATCTTGTCTGTTTGCTGAGTAACTATTTGCTTTTGCAAATTTCATTCTTGGTCTTTGAACTGGATGTGCAATGGATGAACGTGCTGGACCCGAGAGAAGAGAGGAAGCAGAAGGAGGAGTTCGAGTGATGGAGGCCTAAGGGAGGATCCAGCACAGCAGGGCAGATGGAGCTCCAACCTGATGGTCACTGCACTCTAAGCATCAGGGCCTCTTCTATGTGGGTACACACAAGAGGCCAGAGGGCTCTTCTGCAATTCAAGTCGGACTGTGCAGGCCTTGCTTTGAGCAAAGACCATGACGTCATGCTATCACTGAGGCCGTTAGAGCCACAACAAGGGAAAGAGAAACCAAAGAGAGAAGCCAGCAAGAACTGCAGCACAGTGATGCACTCACCTTCCTCATTCACGTCCGCCAGAGACAAAACTGCACCTGTCTCAGACTGTGCCGGAAACCCCCTCTCCCGCACAGGAAATGAGGCATGATTATGCAATTCCAACTTAACCCACATCTGCAGAAACAACTCAGATCCAGCTGGACACAACCTTAGCTGGTAGGCTCCCTCCGTCCATGCAGGTGGCTCCTAGACAAGAAGCTCTGGGGTTAGAAGCTTAAAGGGTACAAAGAGGCTGCCGGTCACCATTATGGGTACCTGTGTTTCCCACTGTCTTCCACCAGGGCATTGCACATAAGAACAGCTACAGACACTAGTGGAATAGAAAGTCATATCAGACCAGGGGTATAGAACCCGGTCAGTGGCTCGAAGGCAGCAGCAGGAAAGAGCCTTTGCCCTAGACAGCAGGAACTGGGCTGTTCTACCTCTAACCAAACCCACCTCATTTTTATCTAGTTTATCTTCCAAATTTGTGCTGCTACTTTATTGGAATAAAATGAAAGCAGGGGTTTGCTCTGTTGTTAAAAATAGGAAGACAGGGGCCAGTGCTGTGGCACAGCGGGTTAACACCCTTGCCTGAAGCGCCGGCATCCCATAAGGGTGCCAGTTCAAGACCTGGCTGCTCCACTTCTGATTCAACTCTCTGCTATGGCCTGGGAAAGTAATGGAAGATGGCCTGGGTCCTTAGGCCCCTGCACCTGCGTGGGAGACCTGGAGAAAGCTCCTGGTTCCTGGCTTCGGATTGGTGCAGCTCTGGCCGCTGCAGCCAATTGGGGAATGAAACTGCGGATGGAAGACCTCTGTCTCTCTCTCTGCCTCCCCTTTCTCTGTGTGGCTTTGGCTTTCAAATAAACAAATATATCTTTAAAAAAAAAATAGGAAGACCATGATGATGGAAGAAGGGTAGCGGCCACATCTTCAATATTATGAACAGTTCCAGAATCACTTTTAGAACCACTTATAGAACCCTTCCACTTCACCTCCCACTGGTTTACAGGAAGGAAGACCTGTGAGCCCAGGCAGCCTTCATGTCTGCCTCATTCTTCATCATATTTCCAACTCCTCACACAGCAGGTGCTCAGTAACACCTGATGGATGGACACAGGGACATGTTCAGTAGAGATGCATTTAAAAAAAATTATTGTTGACTGGCTGGTGGCTGAACTCACAGATGTGGAACCTGCTGGTTGGTTGATGGTATTTCTTTCCATCCATGCAGACATTCATCCACACTATCAACGAAAGTATATGTTGGTCCCAGAGAAATGCAAGCAGTCCTGATTCACGGTGTTGCACAGAACTGAGTTTTTTAAAGAAGTCCTCCTTTGCTAAGTGCCATGTTTCAATTCCCACCTTTGGAAGACCCAGTTCATTCATTCACTTCTCCTGGTTTATTCATTCTGCTTTCCTCCCTGCCTCTCCCACCCCACCCCTCCCTCCCTCCCTTTCTTCCTTCATCACTGGGACACCTATATCCCATATCAGAGTGCTGGTTTCAGTCCCAGTTTTGATCCAGTTCCCTGCTAATGCACCTGGGAAAGCAGCAAAAGATGGCCCAAGTACATAGGACCCTGCCACCCATGTGAAAAACCAGGATGGAGTTCTTAGCTCCTGGTTTTGGCCTGGCCCAGCCCTGGCTATTGTGGGTATTTGGGGAATGAAACAGCAGATAGAAAATCTCTGTCTCTGTGTCACCCTGCCTTTCAAATAAATACATAAATCCCTTTAAAACAAAAAAACAGGATGAGGAATGCCTGAGAAGGGGAGAGTGGTGGTAGGATCAGAGAGTGTGTGTCAAGGGTTCTACGTTAGAAATGCTTGATTTCTTCACTTAGCTGGTGGTGACACAGACATTCTCTTTAAAATGAGGTCTTAAATTGCACATTTACATTCTTGAGTGTTTCTGTATTTTGTTTTTCACAGCTTAAAGAAATGCTTCAGTGGAATCTTGAGATCAAAACTTCCCATTGTTTTCTAAAAAGAGACAGCACAGAAAGGGGGTCAGGACAAGGCTTCCTCAACACCTGCAGACACAATCCAAACAAGAAGAAGGGATTCACTCAGGACTTCTGGTGGCGCCAGTGCAGAGGGGAGTAATGGCATCACTCAGCCCGGCCTGGACAGCGGACGTGTGGCCTCCCTGCATGGGTGACCTCAGTCAAGTCCCCCAGTTGTTTTGGGCTTCAGATGCTTATCTGGAAAACAAGGATGCTAACAGTACCCACCTGGGTACCGTGAAAAGTACCCTGTGAAAAGTCCATATGGACAGCTTGGGGGAGAGCTGAAGATGAATATAGAGAAAACAGTCAACTAAATGGAATAAATACAAAACAGTGGCTGTTAGGCCGAGACTGTGAGACTGTGAGACGAGCAGCCGACCCGAGCCAGTCAAACCAGCGAGTGACGGCTCCAAGACAGCTCCCAAGGAGACTGGTCCTGAGCACAGGTGCCCACGTGAGGCAGGGTCTCCCTTCACAGGCTTTTCTCCCAGTTCTGCACCAGTGAATCCAGGCGGGCCCAAAGCTGGTGCATCCAAGAAATCCCCCAGCAGATGCCAGAGAGATCCGGTCCCACCCACAGCCAAGCCCAAACACTGGGTTCCTCCTTGCCCTCCCCGAGCAGGGTCCTGCGCTGGAGTTGTCCCCAGTCTGTAGCCACCGCTGCCTGCTGCTGAAGGCACCTGCACGTGTGGACACGGATGCGAATGTGCCAGCGCTGGGAGTTAAAGCCACAGGTGTCCATGCCCAGGGGATCTGCAGCCCCTGGCTGTTTGTGTTTTTTGTTCTTTTGGGATGAAACAGGAAGCAGGGCCTGAAGTCAGAGAGTAAAAATAGCCAGGCGGAAAGCCCCACAGACGCCTGTGCTGGACGCCTCTTGGGCCAAGAGCAACACTTGGCGTGGGAACAAGGAGCCCATCTGTGAGCAGCAAGCGAGCCACCCCCGGGGCCAGAGCGCAGCGCCGGGCTCCACCCTGGCTTCTTTGCAAGGGACTAGCTCCTAGGCAGGGCTGGCGTGCCAGGCAGGAGGCCTCCAGTCACCCCGTCCCCAGGCTCTCAGGCAGGAACCCCAGGGCCAAAGGCAAACACACGAGCACTTGCCCAGGCTGGAGCTTTCGCTGCTGAGGGCAGAGGTAGGAGGAATGGGGAGTTGGGATCCTGCTTCTGCAAAGTCTGTACCGTGGAGTGCGACAGATTTCCCTGAGGGCAATGCACTCGCTTCGTTCCTTAGCACTGTGTGCCCTGTGCTTTGGGTGTGGCAGCGGGGGCTGAGAGGAAAGGGAAGGCAGGTGACTTCATGCGACAGGTGGTCTGCTCTGGGCGGGGAATGGTCTCGGAGCAGGGGGTGCGGAGAGCATCGCCGCAGACGGGGTCCTGCACGGTGGCGCAGACGGTGGTTCTGAAGCACGGCGGTCACCCGTGGGCCTGTGACAACACAGCTGGCTCGGCAGGCCTGGGGCGGGCCAGGTGTCTGTGTTTCTAAGAGGCCCGAGGCATTCTGGTTTCTGGCCTAGGGATGCAAACTCCATCTAACCGCCAGCCCCGCTGAATAAAAGGTCTGCAGTGAACAGATGCTCTCTGGCTTCCGGAGGACCATGTCCTGAGCAGTCCACCATAAACTGAACGTAGCAGAGTGAGGCCGAAGCAGAGCTGCCGCACCCGGTGTCCACATCACAGCCCAGCAACGGGGCTGACTATGAGCTGTGGCTCATGCCGCTGCTCAGGACCCTAAGAGATGATGGTTCTGTGACTCCCTAGCCTGGGGAAAAGCTCACAGCTCAAGATTCAAAGGTTCGGCGCCGGCGCTGTGGCACAGCAGGTAAAGCCACCACCTGCAGTACTGGCATCCTATATGGGCACAAGTTCAAGTCTCGGCTGCTCTA